CATTTCTTACTTAACAAAAGAGCTAAAATCACTTAAACTATGGAAGAAGCAAGAGGCCTTTCAAAAAGAGAAGGAGAAAATTGAAAGAGAGGCCAAACTTGCTATCCTAGATGAGAAGTTGAGAATTCTTAAACAAGAAGAAGAAAAATTGAAAGAAGACATGAGAAAACACAAAAGAAGAAGACAAATGAAAATCAAAAGAAAAGAAGAAATAGAAAAAAAGAAAGAACTATGTGCAGGGAAGATTAAAGAGGAAGAAATATCCTCTAAAGGATTTGTGACTAAAGAGAATTGTTTTAGTACTAAAAATCCTAGTTAAAAAATTCTCTTTATTCATAAAGATCTTAACTCTTGCCTGCACATTGCCACTAGTCTTGAAGAAGAGATTCACAAATCCATTATTTTTAAAGAAAAAGAATCTCAACTTCAAGATTTGGTGAAGGAGAAGTGGACTTCACTTAGTTCCACTTCTCATGCTACTTCCTTGGTGGTGCCCAAGGTAGATAGTCTTCCTACCTTAGTTGTTTCAATAATGCACCCAATTTATGGAATATATTATTTGTTGGATATAACATCTGAACCTTCAAGGTTCCTTGTGACAAATTCTTTTCATAACTATCCAACAAATAATATAATCCAAAATTGTTTAGGAAATTTCTTAGTAGTATTTTCCTTATTTTCTAGGAAATGCCTAGGTTACCACATAGGGTACTTTAGGCAAGATGTTTTAGTTTTTAGGATTAAGTCTTTAGTGTGCTATAGTTTTAGTTTTAGCACATTTTTAGGATTTAGTAATATACCTAGTCTATGTTTAGGAGAGGATCCTATTCATTATATTAGAAGGTCTAGTATCATAGATTTCTTTAGGTTCCATGAAAGGATTCCTTCTAGGATATACCTTTCACATTTATTTGTTGAGAATATCACCTCTCATGAATTTTATTATATATTTGTAGGTGTGGCCAATAATCATGAAGACTCTTGAGATTTATGGTCAAATCCTTTTCAAGAGGGAGGGAATGATAGACTATGGCCAAGGCAAAGAAATCCAAGAGGTAATATCTTAAAAGAACCAAGAGGAATGGGATGATCTTAAAGACCTTTTTCATATGTTTGTACATCTAGTAGTTTCTTTGTATAGGCTTATTTTTGCCTTTGTATTTGTGAGGCACTTTACTTGCTTTTATTAGTGATTGTATATTGTTTTTAGGGTCGGTTACATGGAGAGTGTAACTCCATTTAACCTCATTTGTTGATACATTCATTTTATATTTTTTCAGTAGGGAAAAAGGGGTGGCATTTAGCAATGCTTGAGGGTGTGACTAGTAATTGGGCCAGAACTGGGCCTAGGCAAAATTTTGCATATTAGACTCATTTTGCTCCTAATTTTTCATAGATTTGATTTAGCTAGGTCTCATCATCATATGATGAACCTAACTAAACCAAATCAAATATTTTTGAAATAAATCATGGAGCATTTTTTAGCCTTGGCCGCCTAGCTCATTCCTTTTGTTCTTGGCCGAAATTTCTAGCTTCTCCTACAAGCTTTGAAGCTTGCCTTCCAAGCTTCTAAACCTTAGTAGGTTTGTCTGACCTTACCATGGTTCTTAAGTGAACCATGGTCAAGGTTAGCTTCTCCTACAAGTTTTAGAAACCATGGATGGTTAGCTACTCCTTTCCATGGTTTCTAGTGAACCATGGTTAAGGTTAGCTTACACTACAAGCTACCTCTCCCTATATATTTGTAATTTCTACTCTTGTATTCACTTTTGAGCATTTGAGAAATAAAACTTCAGATTTCTCTCCAAAAGTCCCTCCTAAAACCGAAGAGAACTCTTTCTCTAAGGTTTCTATCAAAGTTTCTTCAAACTTTGCCTTGGTTCCTCAAGCTTCCTTCACAAGCTAGGAAGTAAACGAACCTATTCCATTGCTTCTCCACCATTGGAGAATCCTCCAAGGTGATTCCGCCACCTCAAGGAGTTCTACCTCAAGATTTCTTCAGTCCTTGCATGGAAAACTTGAAGAATCAACTTTCTTCTCTGAGTGCTTCCATCAGGGTTTTACTGTTTCGGCCAGGTAGGGAAGGAACCGAGAGAGTGAACTTAGCCGACTGGCTAATTTTTGAACTTCTTTGATGTTGTGCGGACTCCTCATTCCGATCACTGTCTGGCATTTAGCTGGATTGGCCTCAATGCCTCTAGTTGACAACATGAAGCTGAGGAATTTACCCCTAACTATGCCAAAAATGCACTTTTTAGGGTTTAGTCTCATGTCGTGTCTCCGAAGCTGTTAAAAGACTTCTACAAGATCATCCTTATGAGTGTCGAGATCATTTGACTTGTCGACCATGTCGTCAACATACACTTCAAGATTTTTGCCGATCTAAAACTTGAAGATCTTATCCATCAGCCGTTGATAGGTTGCCCCAGCATTTTTTAAACCGAATCGCATCACCCGATAATAGTAGTTGGCCGATTCAATGATAAAATCTATTTTCGCTTCGTCCTGTGGGTGCATCCGGATTTGATTGTATCCCGAATAGGCGTCCAAGAAAGTTAACAGCTTATGTCCTGCCGCCCCGTCGACCAATCTGTCGATGTTAGGCAAGGGGTAGGAATCTTTGGGACAGGCCTTATTAAGGTTGGTGTAGTCCGTGCACATTCGCCATTTTCCATTGGGTTTCTTGACCATGACTACATTTGCTAGCCAAGTGGTATATTGCACTTCCCGAATGAATCGGGCTTGTAGCAGCTTAGCAACCTCCGATTCAACAACGACTTTCCTTTCCGTTCCCATCTTCTTTTTTTGTTGAGCAACCGGTTTGGCTGCTGGGCAGATTAATAATCTATGGCAGATAAAATTCGGGTCTATGCCTGGCATGTCCGACGGTGCCCAAGCAAACAAGTCTTTGTTTGAGATGATCACTTTGCTCAATGCGAGCCTCTCGGTTTCTGACAAGCCAATCCCGATCTAAGTGACATGGGATGGTTGCGAGCCAATCTGCAAAGGGACTTTTTCTTCTATCGGTTCTGCCCGTTCGTCATTTAATCTTGGGTCAAGATCCCATGTTGAAGCCGAATTCGAGGATTGAGGAGTTATTGCATGAACTTGTCTTGATTTTGCTTGTTTCTCTTCGATTGGGGGTACCCGTAGACTTGCAAAGTAACATTCCCGAGCTGCCTTCTGATCGGCATGGATGGTGAGGATGTATCCTCTATTCGATGGGAATTTCATAGCAAGATATGGTGTCGAAACGATGGCCCCCAAGGCATTCAACGAAGGCCAACCAAGTAGTATATTGTATGACGTGTTGGCATGAACGAAAATATACTTTACCTGGACATCCCGATGCTCCTTTTCGTCGAAACAAAATCAAGTGGAGAGTTTAATGGATCCCTTGGTGTTGACCCTCTACCCTGCAAAGCCGACAAGCGGCTCGTTATAGGGAGTTAGTTCCTCCTCGGGCATGCCGAGCTGCTTGAAGGTATTCCAGTACAGAATGTCGACCGAACTGCCCTGATCTATCAATGTCTTTTTCACACTGATGACCATAGGGTCATCTTAGACCGGGTCAATGCCTTGAAAGTCTTCATTAGTGAATGTGATGGTAGGCAACCGCCAAGTCGATCATTTTTCAACACATTGACCGATCTGATGACTCGCAGATGCCTCTTTTGAGCCAACAAAGTTGATCCTCCCCCGGCAAAACCTCCAGCAATTGTGTTGATGACACGCCTATTAGACGTTTGGGGTTCTTTCTTCCTATATCTTGATCGGCTGTGCTCGCGGTTATGTCTATCTGAGTGCTCGTGTCGGTCCCTGTGTTGAGACTGGTATGCAGGCCGATGCTGAGACGATTTTGGCCGATCGACAAAATTTTGGAGTTGTCCTTGTTTGATCAGATCTTCAATCCGATCCTTGAGGGCTGGGCACTCCTCCGTGGAATGTCCACGATTGCGGTGATACCTACAAGATTTGTTTGTATCAGCTCGGGGGGGAGTTGACACTCTTTTGGGGACTGCCAACACTTCGGATGCTAGAGCCTGTTCAAGCACGGCGGCTCGGCTTGCATTGAGGGGAGTGTAATAAGAATATTTTGGACCGTGTGCGGGTCGTTCTCGAAGGGTTAACTCCTTATTCCGACCCCTGAATGGTTGTTCCACCACCTTTTCAGCTTTGCTTTCTGGTTCGGCTCGGGCTTGGTTGCGAAAATCAGTCAGTTCTTCCATCTGCATATATTTGTCTGGCCTTCTCCGTAAATCATCCATGTCAACGGGGTTTTTTTTTTTGCAAATGCTGTTAACAAAAGGCCCTGGCTTCAAAGCCATGGTAAGATAGTGAAGTGCAATTGCTGGATTGAGATTCCTTATTTCAAGGGTTGCCTTGTTAAACCGATCCATGAAGGCTCGTAGCGACTCTTTCTTATCTTGCCGAATGCTGACTAGTGACAGGGAGGTTAGCTAATGTGGCCGACTGGTAGCAAACTGTATAGTAAATAGCGATGATAAAGTACTGAAGGAATTAATCGAGTTGGGAGAAAGCCGAGTGAACCAGCTTAAGGCTCATCCTTTAAGGGATGTCGGAAAAATCTGACATAAGGCCGCATCATCTATGGTATTCAATGTCACTTGAGTAAGGAAGATGTCAATATGTTCATCGGGGTCCATAGTGCCATTGTACTTATCTATTGGAAGAGCTTTCCAATGATCTAACAAAGGTGACTGCATGATAGATGAAGTAAAGGGATGCTGATGAATGCTAACTGGCTGGACACTTGTCGATGGTCCGATAGTCAGGATCTTTTCTGGGGCGACGGCCGAAGCGCAAGGTGCCGATGTATGGATTTCCAAGGACTGGGACGATGCTTGTGTTTGATCATGGGTCGGCTGAGTGGGTTTCTAGGACGAGTCTTGACTTTTTAGAGCGGCGTTCTCCGCTTTCAAAGCTGAAAGGTCTCTAGCATCTTTCTCTCTTTGGCGCCTCATGGCAGCCATCTCCTCTTTCAGCTGACGAATGGTTTCCGAAAGGTTAGTTTTATCCACCACTTCCACATGTTCCTCTTCTCCTTTGGATCTGTGGTCTTCTGTGTTTGTCTTCCTTGTCTTAGCCATTATTTTGATCTTGTCGACTTGCTCCTTCAACCTCTCAATTAGCCCCATGGTGGGCGCCAAAATGTACTTGTCTGAAGTACACCAGTAATCTTCTCGTACTATAAGGGCCGAACGAGAGCTCCAATCGAATATTCCGGTGAGAGGGATGGTACCTGCAAAAGGCACTCTGACACTCAAGTCAGGAAAAGCACAGATATCGATAGTAATTAATGAACAGTGACGTTACCTCGTGACATGATCTATTTATACTAACATTTATGGGCCCTGACCTCCATGGGCCCTGCAACAGGATTACCGTATTAGGTAATACGTCCTTAATCGGCTTATTGGTGTGATTAACCCTTAATTCTTGATTAAGGGTAATCCTTGAGTGTATGGTATACCTGGTGGCCGATCAGGTGTCGGCCACCAGGTTCGGCCATTCGGTGGCCGATGGGATTTCGGCTATATGGTGGCCGAATGCTCTTATCCGTACATATATTATATATGTATATCTATACGTATTTTTCTATGAGATATAATTGATATGATCTCTTAAGTTTAATTTTTATTTATATTAAAATAATATTTGATTAGTAAAAATTGTGTTTTATAAATATAAATTAATTTTTTATTATCAATTTTGAAATATTGTCATAATAATGTATGAAAAAAAATGTATACATTTTTTTAAAATAGTAAATGAAAAATTAGGGCTATAAAAATTGTGCAAAGGCACCTTTTTGTCTCTATGGTGGTCTCTCATGGTCACACCACATGTAGTGTAGTTGGCACTTTTATGGCACTTCCACAATCCCATATTCTGATTCAATTGTTTTCCTCACGCAGGATCATGGTGATGCATGTGTCTAAAAATATTTCATTTTTTATTGTGTCGGTGAAATAAAACGCGTGCACCATCCTATTTTAATTATATACTAAATACTTTTTGTACAAAAGAGTAAAGACTACTGTTATTTTGTGTACGATAGGGACTTGATGGATGTGTATTTCTATTTGTCGTGAATGCGTTTTTTTTTTGGAGTAAACCAGAAACTTCTTATTGTTGGTGATAGTCATAAATTGCAGGTGAGTTTCTTCATTCACTGTTGTATGATTTATGAAGTTGAAACTAGTATCTCTACACAAATTTCATCTCCAGAGGTTGCAGGTTCCTCTACAAATTTTACGCCTATGACAGAAGAACAGGTCACTATAGTTATAAATATTGCATTGGCCTCTTTTTTGCAAACACAATTACCAGAGATGATGAGGCAGATAATTCAGACAGTTTAACCATTAACAACACCATCAACCAACCAATGTAGAGAGGATCAAGGACGAGATGATGATTTTACTAACTAAGGTTGATTACTATATAGGATGACTCGTTATTTGGATTTTCTTTTTGTAAGACATTGATTAGTTTGGGTTTCTTTAAGATAGTATTCACAAGTTAGATTTTGTAAGACATTTAACAATTTGGTTTTGTAAGAGATATTGTTACATGCAACTTTTATTTTAAATCATATCCAATTGAAAAAAAATTATGTAGTTAATTTATATTTATTTAAAATATCAAATTAAGTGGTATATTTACAGGGATTCATGAGAGAATAATATATATATATAGATAAATTGGGAAGGTTTCGCGAGATATTAACGAGGGATTTGCGAGGACACTCAAAAGATATGTTGCTAAGGTTTCGCAAGGGATTAGCAAGGGATTTGCGAAGGATCTTTCCCTCTCTAGTTCTCAATTTTCTTGTAGAAGGCCCAATGGTCTTTAAGTGTGAGCTCTCTTATGGATCAACCTTCACCCTTCTTGGTCTTAACTCTTCCAAAGGGATCCTTGGAGATTAGATTTCCATCACTATGTGTGATGCTTTTTATGTTCAACACTTTCTTTTATTTTGCTTGCACACTCTTTTTACTTCATCATTCATATTACACCTATCCTCATTTACATTGTGCATTTTTTTTTGTTGCTTGTTGTTTAAGGGTTTGACCCTTATATAGTATCTTTAGAGAAGATGATCGTTGCAGCAATGTTCAAATTTAAATGTTTATATGTCTTCATGTGTTGCTTCATCCGTCTTGTTGGTTGATCATATGGATTACCGTTGATGAATTTAATGCAAGCATTACATGTTGATCAGAGATGTGTGTATCCCATATCTGATCTAGGTAGCTACTTATCATCTTTTTCTTTTATTTTGAGTGTGGCAGAGTGGCGTCAGCGTAGAGCAATCTCTTTTAGTGTCTTATCTGTGATATCTGGGATTTTCTCTTTGTATCCTGACACAATGAGTTGACATTCCCTTTTTAAAAACTTTCATTTTCTTCGAGGAAGCTTTCCATTGATTTGTCAAGAATAAAGTATTAATGCTTCTTAAAGTATAATCTGACTCTTTAACGAGAAATAAATAGAGTATTAATCTAGATCATGCACTATCGTAACCCGAGAAATTCTGATCTTACGACCAATAAGGTAATCTACCATTTTAAAAAATCACATTAATTAAGGAATGCCTGGAGACTAGAATAATCCCTAATTAATGGTTTTGAAAGTAGGTTCAAGGAGTCGCCACCAATATTTTACTCAAAATATTGGAAAAAGAAAAGATCTTTAAAAGTCCAATAAAGGCCTTCATAGCCAGAATTGGGTTTAGGAGTCAGTTACGTGTAGGGAAGGTATTAGACACCCCCACAATGCCCTAAATCGGTACCTTATGACGAAGTTAGCATAATAATAAATACTATTTTAAATATTAATTCCCATTTATAGATAGTTATTTACATACTTGAAATTTAAATTATATGAATTATCCTACAATGTCTACATGATTATTTTTTTATTCAGAAGTACCTTTATTAAAATAAGGAAGTAAAGAAGGAAGAAGTATATTGATTAGAATACCTCTTAGTCAAGCTTTATTGAATCTTTGAATGCAAAGATCCTTTAGGCACTTTTTGGATACCTTACATACTACAGACTATCTTTCAAATCTCAAGAAATACAATAAGAAGGAGAGAGAGAATTTTTGAACTGACTAAGGCTTCCTAGCTGAACTTTTTGGCCCCTTGAATAGTGTTTGATGCGGTTATTTATAGACGTCAAAACTTACCAAAATGGCCTATCCCAGTTTTGGAACAACCTGTTCTAGGTCATTCTATTGCGAGTAAAATTTAAATCTAGAACAGCCCATTCCAGAATGGGAACGGCCCATTCCGGAATCGGAACGGCCCATTCCAGAATCGGAACGACCCATTCTAGATTTGAATTTTACTCGTAACAACCTGTGTCAGAATGGCCCGTACTAGATTGGGAACAACCCGTTCTGACCTAGGGTTTCTAGGCCCTTTGAGGAGGTTGGAATGACCTGTTCTGGCTTGAGAACGGCCATTCCAGGCTCCTAATTCATCCTTATTGGGATTTGGGCCTCTTGATGTCTTGTCGTGTCGCTTCTAGGCTTTTGAGAACTTCTTTTGTTCATGCTAGATGTCCATTTCCTTGTCATTATGCGTCCGAACAAAATTAGGTGTCTACATGCACTTCATCTGGTGCACTTCATTTTACAGATGAAATATAACATTTGCTTCGTCTGAACTAGTCGGTTATAGAGAAACTCATGGCTTCTTGTTGTTGTTGTCATAAAAGGTGTTTTATAAAACTCTAATCTGTTTAGAAAATTGTTTGTTATCATAAAAACTTCTAACACATCAAGGGATTCAAGATTGTCCTTTTATTTTTTAGACTTCCTTTTTATGTTACCATTTCCCATTTTTTGATGATGACAAAAACATTTTTATAAAATCTTTCTCTCTATTTAGTCAAACTAAAAAATTCATCTTTTAAGGAAAAGACGTTCTATTTGAAAAAGATCTTTTAAGACTTGAACAATTTGTATAGACTATTCAAATAGAAAATGTCATATTGCTTAAGACTTTTGCATAACTAGTACGTAGTTTTTAATAAAAACCATGATTATCATATTGATTTCATCAAACTTAGAAACTGGGAAAAACTAAGCTATATTTCATTTATCCAAAACATTTTGTGCTTAGTCTATTTCCAAAAACTTTTTAGTCTAGTTCTTTTTAAAATGAGCCTTAAACGCATAAAATAGAATATGATTATCCTATATGCAGATGCATAGGGGACTCCCTTGAAAACATGCATGAAGACTAGCTTATACAAATTTATGAAAATCATAAATCCATAGTAATGAAATTGTCAAAAATGTCAATCAAGAACCAAAGTACAAATATTCTAAGCAAGGTAAATAATATAATGTTAGAGTAATTAA